AGATGACTTAATACCAAAGTTTTAGGATTCTTTTCCTAGAAAGTATTGCCTGATACTACGGTTTTTTTTCCCCTTTTTGTTTCTCTCCTAGACAAATCTTTTCTTTATTTTTCTCAATTAATTCAATTGATACTTTATTTTGCTTTGACTCTTTATGTTGTACTGCTGAACATTTTTTATTGTTTCATTGTTTACAAGCTTTTTATTCTGTGTAAGATGCATTGAGAACCTAGACAAATCTTTTCTTTATTTTTCTCAATTAATTCAATTGATACTTTATTTTGCTTTGACTCTTTATGTTGTCCTGCTGAACATTTTTTATTGTTTCATTGTTTACAAGCTTTTTATTCTGTGTAAGATGCATTGAGAACAGTGAAATGGAAGAGCAGAATAGCGGATTATAGGAGTAAATTTCCTATTGCATTAAAATTAGCCTGGGGACACTTTTTCCATTTTGTTTTGGGTTTTTACATAGCTCTAACTGCTTGTATCCAGCACCAAAAAATAGACCTTTTGAGAAGCAGTGGAAACCATTACAAACTTAGAATAAACTCTAAGAAAACTAAAAGTGCTTTCCCCAATGGAATAATAAAAAAGCTTGTTAATGTCACATAGAGAAAAATTGCTTATTACAATTCGTACTATTAAAGTGAGCAGGAAGGCACTATTTTTCAGTAAATACTAAACATAGCCTGAGGATGGCTTGGCTTTTAAGACACTTTGATATTTAGAGTGATTTGTAGCTGTGAAATAATTGTGTATATAGAAGTACAATCATCAGTAAATAGTAGCAGTAACTTAAGGTCCTGATTTAATGACTTCTATTTTATTACAATAGAATCACTAAACCATAGTAATTTAAATGTAGTTACTTTGTTGCAGTATCTCAGTAAATTTGATAGATGCTCATGTTTCTGTCCCTTTTGGATTTTCAGATAGAAAATTTGGAGTAAAAGCCAGAATTAGTGGTGCTTTAAATATAACTCTGAATATAGTGAAACAAAACTTGCAGCATCAAAGGCTAATACTGCCTTGTCTTCAAGTGTTAAGAGTATACTCAACTAATTGTGAGTATTGTTGCATTTTTCCAACAACATATCTCCCATTTATATAGATATTTACATACAAGATGACATGTATTTCATTAGTGCTGAAAACCAGTAAAAGTGTGTATGTAGTAGAAAGTCATAGTTTGTTGCTTTTTTTAAGCAAGAGTGTTTGCAATCACAGTTTCCTAAAATTATTCATGTAAACTTTCTGTTCTTATTTTTCATTGCTAGTACATGGCTCTTACGTCCTCACGAACCCATTGGATTTTTTTCCATTGTAATACAGTATGTTCTTGAGCATTTTACAGTTGCATGCATATGTTTAAATATCTTTGGTCAATTTGCCAAATTGCTTTAATGAATCCTGAAGTAACAGAAGCTGAACATTTCTATGAGGTAGAAAATTAAACATGGCATTTTCCCGCAAATTTGAATGCATGTTTACTATTTTTGTGCAGTTGTTTACAGATTCAAAATAAGGAAGCGGTGAATATGGCATGTATAGAGGTTTGGATATCCTGTCAGTTAGTACTTTGTAACTCATCCTTGGCAGAAATAATAGCTTCTGAATATTCCCTGTAGCCAGCTAGGAGTCTTCCTATACTTGCCTTTAAATATTTTAGAAATATTCTTAGGTTTCCTTGCATGCACTGCATTTTTGAGATCTCTCCAAAGATTTTCAGTAATATTTACATCTGGGGATTGTAAAGGCCATTCCAATACCTTTTTCTTTCTTTTCTGTAAGTACTTCATGGTTATTTGGCAGGTATCTTTCAAACTCTTGTCTTGCTGAAATATCCAGCCTCTTTTCATCTTCAGTTTTTTTTAGTTATGGAGGAACATTAACTCTATGATATGTTGATATTTAGTTGAATCCATTGTTCTTTCCATCTGCACATTATGTTCTGGACCACATAATCTCAAAGCATAACAGAGCCACCCCCATACTTAATGGTTGGCATGGAATTCTTTTCTTCAAATGCTTCACCCTTTTTTCTCTGAATGTTTCTTGTGATCAAACAGTACAATTTTTGTTTCATCAGTCAAAAACCCTTCATTCCAAAATGTTGTGAACTTCCCAAGGCTTTTGTTTTTCTTTGCATAAGTTTACTTTTATCATACAGTTTGATTATGCTTGCATGCAACTATATATTTAGCCACAGATGAACTGGTAGTGTGAATAGATAGAGGAAACTCCTTGCCAGTTGATGACCACAATAAAGTTTGATTGACTGATAGAGGGAACAGTTTTCTTAAGTATTGCATTACCTTACCAACTTAACCAGAGAAGATGGTTACCAAAATATCTAGTATTTATCACTGTTAACATACTGCTAGTATAATGCCTATTAGTTGGGATTCATTCACCAGAGATAAGGGGCTTGGAATGAAGACTCTTAAATTTGATTATGGGATGTTAGAATTATCTTTGCAAAATAAATATTACTAAATATTGACTCTGCAATAAAACTTTTATTTGGCATTTGATTCTAAAAGTTTATTAATTCTAAAAGTCATACAAATATGTTATATGAATGTATATAAATACTGAGGTTAACTAGTGAACAAATGCAGTAATGTAGAATTTTTCCAAAACTCTTCACTTACAATAATCTACCAGATATATACACATATATATCTTCTTCTACCCTGAAAAGTAATATATCAAGTAATTATATTTGATACCTGAAATCACATTATTCGTTTAAATAGAGTAATTGAAGAAGAAAATATTTTGGGGTTTTTGTGAATAGTGACAGCAGTATTTTTATACACTGATGTAAAATGTTGTGGTTTTTATCTTTAGCTGTAAATGCTGTTTCCTTGGGTAAGAATGGAGTTGTGGAACTGATATTTAAGATAATTGGTCCTTACAGTAAGAAAAATACTGGCCTTATGAAGTAAGTAGAACACCTGGATAGATTGTATAGCTTTTGTAATGTTGAAGATAATATTTAAAATATAATCATACCTAGCAGTTAAAATGGAAAAGATAAGCTGAAATTATTTTAATACCTCTTTGAGAATACCTCTTTTAAAAAGTTATATTTGAGCTTAAATGTACTTTTTTCTAAATAATCTACAATTGTTATATTCAAAAATGCTTTTGATTTCTTTGCATAGCAGTAGTCACACAGCACTACATTTATAATACTTTGATTTGAAATAGATAAATTAATGTGTTGCCTTCTGCAGCTCATAGCTAAATCCACTCAAACATATTATCAGTGGTCCTGGACACTGACACTTCTCTTTCAAAGGCATTGAGCCAACTGACAATCAGCAATGACAAACCATAGCACAAAGATACAGACACTAGAACCATATCCTGTGGCAGACCAAGATGCCAATATGGTCCTCATATCTACTCTGACAACACCATTGAAGGACCTAACAACATCCTGCATAAGATCAAGGGGAATATATTCTTGCTCATTCTCTAATTTGATATTTGTCAGCATTGCCCCAACACATTTTATATTGGACAAACCAGGCAGTCCGCTTACAGAGGATAAATTATATCTACTTGCAGATAAGCTGAGAATTTTAGGTTCCAAAATACACCCCAAAAATTGGGTTCATGGAATGCTTTTTTTAAAGTGTCTGTACACACTCATGAATAAGCTGGTCCTCAAATTTTTAACCAAAATACCATGAAAAATGTGCTACCCATAGATAAGCCGATTGTGCAAATTTAAAAAGGGATCTGTCCTTGAAAACAACATTTATTGATACAAAATATGAAAACAAATTAAGTCCTTCAGAATATATTGAAAAAGATACCAAATTTTTGAGAGTTGGTTTATCTGCGGGTGGCACATTTTTCATGGTATTTTGGTTAAAATTTAGAGGATCAATAGAACAGAAACAGCAGTTAGAGAGAAAGTTTAAACTGGAGTAGTATTTATAATTAGGCACCTTTACTACAAGCAAGAATATCCCCTAAACATTTAACTTATGTTTTTGTTCGTTCTATTTATAGAGTTGCTTTAGATACCCTCACTGCACTTCTGAAATCAAGTAAGTATACAATTCAATATTTTAATACAATTATATATGGAATGTGACCAGATTAATATTTGATTTTGCAGACAAAATAACTGAAAATTAATATTCTGTAAAATACAAACTGTCTCATCTTGTATACCGAAATCATGAAAATAAGGGGCGGCGTCAGAATACAGAAGAATTGGTGGTAGTACAGATCTATTAGCCACATTTTGAAATAGTAACTTTTTTTTTGCCTTGTTTCTTGGGATTGCTTCTAGTATATTTTAATTGGATATCTCCCCAAATCCTTTCCCTGAAATCTCAGTGAGGATTCTAATTTATCCCACAACAAATCTGTGGAGTATATTAAGATGAAATAGTGTGTGATTCACCCAGAGATATACCCTACATACAGTGGTACCTCGGGATACGAACGCCTCTACTAACGAAATTTTCGGGTTACGACCAGCTCCGGCCGCAAAACTTTCCCTTGATGTGCGAACTCCGCCTCGGGGTATGGTCATTTTTCCGCCCTGACACGTCTGCGGCCATTTTTATGCCCCTGACACGTGGTCCGCGGCCATTTTTCCGCCGCGCCGCACGGCACCCGGCTGTTTTTGCGCCGTGCCTGGCTGTTGCTGCGCCGCGCCCAGCCGTTTTCGCGCCGTGCTGTGCCCGGCGTTTTCGTGCTGCACTGCGCCGCGCCAGGCCATTTTCCCGCCCCTGACGCGTGGTCTGTGGACTCCAGAACGGATTAACCGGATTTACATTGAACCCTATGGGGAAATTTCCTTCGGGTTACGACCAACTCGGGAT